TCATGAAGGGCAGCTTCTAGGGTGATCCAAAGTAATTTTTCTTATTTAGTCCATCAAAATAGTTCCTGTTTGAACTGTAACAGAACAGATATAGCCAGACATGAAAGAGAAAAAGAGAGAGAGAGAGAGAAGAGAGTCAAAAGTTAGCTGCAGAAAATGGAGGTCACTGTGTGATGATAGACACCTGTTTTCAATACTTTTCATTATGAGACATTCTGATATAAACAATGGTTAGAATCTATAAGTGGTCTGTGGGCTGGATCCAGCGCACTGGAAAAAACCCATCTTGCTCACCCATATTTTCCTTGCAGAAGATGGGGAATGGCTGTTCAGCAGCAAGTAAACTTGACCAGCTTAGTGTGCCCACATCATGCTGTATCTAAATCATATTAAAAAAAACAACATAAAATAAAGGAGAGAGTGACTTATAAGACCCTAAAAATTCTAGTGGTCCATCTGAGCCTTCTCTGCCCCTGTGTCCTTCAGGGGAAGGAGAGCATGGGTAGGTGGGAGTGGGTTCCCTGCAGCAGTTCCCACTTTTGTCGTTCTTATTAGCTCTGCAGAGATGTGTAGAGCAATGCCCAGCTGAGCAGTCACACCACAGCGAACAAACTTATTACAAGGGCAAGATCATACATTAACAAATGAGTAGGTAATTTACTTTGACGAACAGAGCTTATGCTTAATCATTTATGAAATACTGCATAATGGACCAGTAATGAACTAGTGTGTCCAGGTAGAACTAAACATCCCTGTTGCACTTGGCTATTAAACTTTAATCTCAGAGATCTGCATGTTGATGTGGATAAGCGTCTTTGGGCAAGATGCAGAAACTGATCTGCATCCCTTTTGTGTTGTCTAATATTATGCTATTTCACACCTAGATGGAGGAAATATGCACAGTGCCACAAACACTCAGTGTAGCTGGAACTTCATCTGACTGTTGCTGGTCATTGCTGTCTCCTGAGAGTGATCATATCTGTTTACTTAGATATCAGATCTAAGGGGCTACTCAGCCTTTTTGATTAGATGAATTATCAGTTTCAGTGATCCTGAAAAATGTGGAAGATGGCAGCATCAGTCTTGCTTTGGTTTTGGTTTGTACTGGGTGCTTACCATCTTCTGTCTTTTGAGAATGCAGGAATCCTGCCTCCATCATCACATGGAATAAGGCCGACCAGTACTTAAAAAATGTTGGTAACTGTGTTTTCTATTTCCACTTGCTTCAAAAGCAGCAGCTAAGACAGGACCCACTATGGGACTGTGGGTTGTGGCAGAACGAGGCAGGAGGAACACTGTGAAGACTGGAACAAATTAAAGAGCAGAGAGAAAAGTACTGGCATATTTGAAAGGCTTAGTACATATGTGTGAGGCAGAGTGTTTAAGGAGGTGTTTTTCATATCTTTCTGAGAACTCAGAATGAATAACTGCCTACCTTAAAGGAAAGTCTTTCCACGGGTGGAGAGTGATGTACATGTTTAGGAGGTCAGTATATGTAAGCTTCGTACATGGAACATATGTGGTTTGGCCATTTAAAGACATGGCCCAGAGCAGGTAACTCAATTGCAGCAATTGGCTCAATTACTCAGCACAACTCAGGGTTAAGATATTAGAAGCACATAAAAAAAGTTGGAACATTTGTTCTGTTCCTCTGTATTATGACTGAGACTTTTTTTTTTTTTTTTTTTTTAATACAATCATAGCTAGAAATACCCTAAACATAGCTTTTGTAGCAAGAATATGCATGGTCCTGATCTTACCTGGGCACTGAGTTGCTGGAGAATAAAGAAAGGACACATCAACCCTGTATTTTGGATTCTTCCAAAGGAGTTTAATCACACATGTTCCAGTGCCCAGATTGCCAAGATAGGCTAAGATTTTGCTCAACTAATTTATGACCTTCCTAGTCTCTATGAAATTACTTGGTAAAGTTACGGGAAGCAGAATGTCCAGAAGCCCCTCTGCACAGGTTGTGAAGCTTTGACCGCAGTAACATAGTGTTCTTCATGGTTCCTTGTGGAGCTACTTCTATTCACTCCTGATTTGATAGCCTGGTTGTAAATGAGCCTGGAACACATTTTGGTGAGTACTGCTGAATCACAATAACCATTGTGAAAAGGTTTTCATATCACTGGATAATAAATGACTCTCTCCCCCTACATATTTCAGCATGTGAAGATTCATCCCAGCACACAGCCACAGTGTGCTGAGTTTTCTTAATTGACGAGCACTCCATGGAAGAAGTCATTCAGGACTCTAAAAAATGCATTACTTTATTTAGGCAAGAGCAGCCTTGTTAACTGTCATTTTGCAGCTGATGTGAAAGCTCTGAATTGAGCCTTGGCATTATCTGCTTGACAATGATTTGATGCAATACTACACTGTGCTATAAATTAGTGTCAAGAAACAAAATGTTAATGATAGGAGCCCCTCTACGCACTGGTGACTTAAATAGCATGTTTCTTTAAAATTCAACGATGACTCATGCTCTTTTAAATAACCCCCTTCTGTGCTATTTAAATAATGTCATGTAGCTCTAGTGCATATTTCCTTTGAATTTGAGTATTTCAGTGTTTACTTAAATAACTATCCAAACAAGCTTTTGAACCTAGTGCTGAATAATCCCCTGAAATACCTTATTTTGTACACCAACTTTTCTTTTTTAAGAAATGCTTGAATATTTTGTAAAATGGCTATATTCTATTTGGTCATGAGTTACTAAGGCTGAAAATGGCTTTCTATTCTCTCTTAGAGATGAAATCATCAGACATAGGTGAACTTCTGAGCAGCTTTTTAAATATGAAGAGGAACTGATTAGAGAGATTCCTTACGACTAATGGGATGGATTGCTTTGTTCTTAGAATTCTGTGCCCTTCAGGCAGGAGTGACTGAGCACTAACCTCACTGGTGCCATCACAATTTAAACAAATGAGGGTCTAGACACACGCATTTAAGGATCCTCTCCTCTGTTCTGGTTATTAGTACTGATGAACACTGTTAATGATGTGGAAGATTTTCTCCATTTTTTAAATTAAATGTTTTAGCTCTTTCTAGGTAGGTAAATATGTCAATATATGAGCTTTGTGCTGTCTTCTTTCCTACACTTAGACATGTGACACTCTGGATGCTCTTCAGGACTGGACACATTTCCAACACAGTGCTATTTCAAAAGACATCAATGTTGATGTTAATCTAATATGTTTTACTAATCCTGTCTTGACTGCAGGTGTTGCCTACACATTGAGGCATATAGAGAAATGGAAATGGATTTATCACCAAAAAGAAAATACATTTTGTCCTTTAGGATATTTAATAGCAGATTACACTCCTTAGTCTTCAAAACAAAATAAAAATTTTAGAGAAATATCTATCAAAACAGGGCCTAAACAGATGAGGTCCTTCAAATAAATCCTTCCTGAGCCCAAGATCTTCCCATCATCTATAACTTCATCTTGTTCAGGTAAAGGTCACAGGATGAAAAATAAGATCTCCAGAAAAAGTGAGGCAAAATAACAGTGATCTCAAAAAGGAAGAATGTTCTGCTGTTGAGGACACATGAAAAATGCTCTGTTAGCCAGCTCAGTAGCCATAGAGGTTCAGGTCAGCTCAGGCATATAGACAGAGGATATAAACAAGGACATTTCAGGTAACCATCAGTTAAACTGACAAAGAATTCATCATTTTCAAATATCATTCTAATCTGCATCTGGAAACTGTCTGGAAAAAAAGTATTGCTTACAGATCATAAGTGTGAAATATTTGTAACAAAATAGCCATTTCTGTACTGATTAAAGTTCTCTGAAAGAGAAGCATTAGTAAAAATGTGACAAAGACATGTCAACATTTTGGCATGATCTATGATTTCATCCTGAAGTTATTACTATTTAAATCTTCCCTGAATGTAAATTGCAATTCATGAAAAAATAGAGGTATAAATCCCCTCTTGTACCATGAGCCATTGGCATGCCTAGAAATGTTCGTGTTATCAGCCCTAAAATCAACATGTGTTTCAGTGAGGAATGAAATCTGGCTATCTTCACTTCCAGTGCAGATATACACATCTGAAGAAGGACAAAACTGTAAATCTCACTACTTTCATATTGACAGAATTCCCTATTTACACAAACAATTAAACAATGCAAAATCATCCTCATAACAATCCACATGAAACATGAAAAGGATTTTAAAAAGAAACTAAGCCACTGGACTAAGCACACTCATTCAAATGCTACCGCTGAAGCTGGACAATATCTCTACCCCAGAGGTCTCCTGTCTCTCCAAAATCCTCTTAATGTAATTTTTCTATCCTGAATATACATGTTGTCTTCATGACCACCAAATTCAAACTCTTCTTCAGGAAGAAAGAAAGTTGTATCTGGCAAGGGAATTTCTAGTCAATGTCAGGAAGGGTGTCAAGAATGGGGCCTGAGAACAATTAGATTTAATGGAGTTGGGAGGATGAAGATAGCAAAAGGTATCAGAGAAAGCTAAAGACGAGAAGATAGGAAGAACACAACGAAAGAAGGTATGAAGAGTTAATACAGAAAAGGAAAATCAAGGGGATAGGAGAGAAAAGAGTCATATGAAACAAATCCTTGGAGGCCTGAGAGTGGCTGCTCATGATGCTACTTGTGTTGACCAATTCACCTTACAGCATTAGCAGCAACCCTATTATCTTACTGCTGTGACGTTATATTTCTTGTTCTTTTTTTTTTTTCTTTTCTTTCTCCTAAAATCTTGTTTGCCTCCCTGCAAGTTTACAGATGACACACCTGGGTGCTTACAGCCCTGTTTGCTCATCGCTCTATGTTGTGTTTTTGCACAGCCTTTTAGCTAAATCAGCCATCACCTGAAAGTGCTACAGAGCAGACTTACTCATCTCCCGGTGCAGAATGAAGGAAATTATTATACTTCCTTCTGTCCTTTCACTGTTAGCAATATTATTTAAGTCTCAGAAGATCACACTTGCTTCCCCACACTCATATATTAGCAAACTTTACCTAAGAGTTTCACCAGATGATCCCCTTCTTTTCCACAGGTTCACCAGGCTGCTCGAGCGACTTGCAGCCGAAGATGACTTTCCATCCCCTACATGCATGCGGACCACAGTTGACGTGGTGAATGCGCTCCGTACGTTCCTTTCTGGCTTAGCAAGGATGATATAAACCTTGGGCACAAACATACAGCCAAGGGCCACCGTGGCGCTCAGGCTCACTGAGAAACACATGGTGATTATCTTGTAGTTGCTTCCGAAATATATTGGCACAAAAGCTAGCCAAATGATGCAGGTGGTATACATTGTAAAGGCAATATACTTTGCTTCATTGAAATTAGCTGGGACATTTCTTGTCTTAAATGCATAAAAGGTGCAACTCAAAATTAATAATCCATTATATCCAAGGGGAGTTACAACACCTAGGTTGGTGGTGTTACAAATCAGGTAGACCTCTCGGATGCTTGGGTAATCATGCATTATATCTGGTGGCTCCATTATAAAGAGAGCAACAATTATGCCTAGTTGGATACATATCAAGATAAACGCAATAACCAGTTGGGCACAGGCACTCATGAACCTGGGTTTCTTTGTACAAATTTTCTTCTTGCTGCCAGCCAGGATTCTTGCAATGCGGTTGGTTTTAGTTACTAGAGCAGAGTAACTCATAGCTGGGGAGAGACCAATGCCGATTCGTTGAAGATAACAGTAAATCTGTTGAGGTTTTGCAATGAGACAGAAAGTGCACAAGTAACCCAAGCAGATACCAGCTAATATGATGTAGCAGAGTTCTCGGCTGGATGACTTTACCACTGGAGTGTCACGGTACATTATGAATATAGCTGTAACAAACAAGGTGGCCAGCAGACCCAGGCATGCAAAAACCACTGCTGCAATTGGTTCAGGATCACCCCATCTGAGATACTGGACTGGGATGAGGTCACATCCTATAGAAAGAGAAAGAAAAAAATAAATTAAAATGCGTAGAAGTCATATTCCTTAATGATACAGTTGCAATTACTCCTGATATTTCTCTCTTTTTTTCTCCTTCAGGAATGTGCCATTATCATGGATGCAGGCTAAGATGATGCTGGCAAAATGGCACAATAAATATTTTTCCATCACAACTTATTTCAGGAAGACAGGTCATCTCTTTGGAGTCTAAGAAGATTGCAAAAAAAGACCAAATTGATTAAGCCATGTCTCATCACTATGCGATTTTCATTTTAAGTTATTTTAAATGTAATAATTTATAAATAAATTTCATAATAAAGTGACATTACTTTGCTGCAAAATACTGCATAGTCATCTGTATACTACATGCACTTCAAGGAGCAGATGTCAATCCTGTTAATTGTATCATATACTATGAAGAGTATTAGTACTTATTTCATGTCTGTGGGCAGGGGTAAAAAAAAAGCCTAATCTTACTCATGAAATTAAACTATGTCAAAAAATCAGGTGTCAAACCTGAATTAAAACAGGGTACCCTCTTATAAGAATGCTTGTTTACAGTTGAGGCATTGGTTTTAGTAAAGCATTTTTGTACAGGTCTCATAGAAAGACAAAGCAATAAAGATGACTAAATATTGGCAGAAATTTTCTTGCTGGCGTACTTCTTCCACCCTTCCTTTCCTGTGTGCATTGTAAAGCCTGGGTAATGCTGGAAGCCAAAAGGAGGAAGGGATGGAAGACCCGGTCACTCTGGCGTGCAACTTCTTGGCAACAGGAGGCACAAGTCCTGCC